AAAACCAAAAACGTGTCCTCGGCCATCCTGTTCCACTGCAGCCCTACAGCAGGAGAGGGTTTCCCAGAATTCTTGCTGGAATCGGATGGTTGCCAGTATCTGTTTGTTTGGCACACCTCCACCGTTTGTACATTTTTGTGAGTATCAGAAAGCCGAAACATGTTTCCAGGCAGTTCTGCCAGAGATATGTTAGCAAAGGAAGTTTGGGTAAAGTACGTTGGTTCTCCTGTTGTTCATCCAGCTCCATGGACCCGCACAGCACTGATGGAGGGGAGGAGCATGCCGGATTGTCTGGGCGGAGTCAGGCTTTAGGGGCGGTGCTTAGCCTGCTGTTGGTTGTGCTCACAATCTGTTTGCTTGTTCTCTTGCTGCACAAACGAGAAAGGAGGTAAATGCAACTTAACCCTAAAACCGTATTCTGGACAAATGTGGGCAAAATAGTTTTGATTTATTTTTAAAAAATACTTCCCTTGATCTGAGCGGTACAAGACTTGGCTACTTTTCACACACACTTTTTTAAACTCAATTCTACAATGTTAAGTGGGTGAAAAAAAAACTCCTTAATCTTGTATTTGGGTCAAAAATGGGCACCCATAGAAATGTAATTGGGAAAAACTGTAATTTAGAGCATCCTAAAATAAGCCAAAATAAGACACCAGGTGACAGCAAAGTCACTCCATCTTTAGGTTTTAGCTCTTAGAACTTATTGGAATGATATTTTAATGTAGTTAAAAAAAATAAAACATAAAAATAAGCATAATTTACATAGAAAATATGGTACTTTTTGAAGTAAATACATTCAAAAATACCCCCAAAATGAAAAAAAACCCCACCATAAATGGATAGACAAAACTTTATCAAAGACAGTGATATAACATTTATAATAAATAAAAATTAGGATCACACCTGAGTCCTCTGTGCCCACATTTGTCCACAATTACAGGATTAAGGGCTATAAAGTGAATACAGTTTGAGGGCTACATAAAAAAAAAAAAAAAAAAAGAAAGAAATGAATACTTTTATTCAGCAAGGATGCTTTAATTGATCATAAGTGACAGTAAAGACATTTATAATGTTAGATAATGTTCTTTTTTAACTTTCTATTCATCAAAGAATCCTGAAAAAAAGTATCAGGGTTTTCCACAAAAATATTAAGCAACACAACTGTTTTTAACATTGATAATAATAGAAATTGTTTCATGAGCAGCAAATATAAATATATATATATATATAGGAATTGTACTTCTACTTGAGCTCCTTAAAATGTGTTTATATATTTTTAGGCAACTTGTAATGCAGAAAATGTCAAGCTGCTTCAAGAAAGGAAATCCAGTGTCGTACAAATACTCCAGGGTAACGTTATATTATTATTTAAAATTTTATCATTACCTTTCATTACCTTATCATTTCAAAACAAGTCCAAGTTGAACAGAACGAGTTTATGCTTAACCCTCCTTGTCTTTGTTCCTCTCTCTCATTAGATAAACACCGATGAGGATGGATGTGAAGATGAGATGGAGTGGTTGATGGAGGAGAACGGGACGCCCACGCGGGAGCCTCAAGAGAACGGTCACATCACCACCAAACCCGTCAGCGCAGACGCCCTGCGTTCCTTCTCCCTGGACGAACAGGACAGCGAGGACGAGGTGCTCACGGTCCCAGGGGTCCGAATGGCCCCTTCATCGTCCTCTTCCTCGCGGCTGCAGTCGGCTTTGCTGAAAGCAGAGAGCGATGAGGATCTGGTTGGGCTCCTGGTGGACACACGGAGCAGAAATCAGACCAGATACAGCGATAGAAACCAGAGGAAAGCCCAGCCAGACCCTGATGACAGCGACGAGGACCTACTTAAAGTCTAAGCGCGTCGGGCGGCCGAACTGAACTTTTGAATGTCTCTGCCACCACGCTTTAAATGTTCAGTTGCTCCATTTTTGGTTTTCTAAAGGGAAATCTTTACGAGACCGCTTTCAGGAGCAAGTTAGTCGTTTCGTCCACTAAATAGACTTGATGCCTTCCTGACAAAATGTTTTTTTTTGTCATTTGATCGTTCGTTTCCCATTGATTAAGATGAATTGTGTACAGCGTCTTATGTAATTTCCCACGAACTTACAGAAATGGACTATATCGATTATTTTTATTGTTATTTAAAGATTTTGGGGTACTATCTTTTTGTTAACACACCGCCTCGCTGGAAAAATACACTGTTTTCTGAAATGATTTGGATTGATTGTGGCAGATACAGTCAAAGACATTTTCTAAACTACAATCTGAAGCAGTATTTCGCATATCTTGAGTCATGTAGCACCGAAAGGAGATTGATTCGCTTTGCCAAGTTTATATTTCAATCACAACGCTTATATCACGTTCCGCATCAGCGTTTATCCAACCATTACATCCATTCGTCATTGAGCGTTTTGTGCGAAGCTTTTGTTCTGCCAAAAAAAGCATGTTCTACTTATCCTACTAGAACACAGAGCGTTTACAGAGGTTTAGTGCCACGAAGGAATGACAGTGCATGTAAGACTGCAGCAGGAATTGTAATTTCTCATCGCGATCAGAAGTGCATCACAGTGTGCTGTTTATTGGTAAATTGATGTCATTATTATATTTGCGTAACTCTTAACAATGAGGTTGAATTCATTAACATTATTATATATATAGTAGATATCATGAACTTGGTAATGTTAAAAAAAATGGGAGTGGGAGGAAATATTATATTCAATACTTTTGCGTTCGCCAGAGAAAGTTTGTGTTCACTCACAAAACTTGTGATGAAAGTGATGGGGTGGCGGAAAAACTTTATTTAATATTTCTGTGCTTCTGCAAGCAAGCCCAAAGTTTCTCAGGGGTGCGTAATATTTGTGTACGCGATTTATTTATGAGTATACCGTTACTTGTCATTCATGAAACATTAACCAACGTTAATTTATATAACTTAATTTATTACAAATGTATTAGTATTTGTGGAAATTAACGTTTAACTAGATTAAACGTCATGTTCATTGTTAGTTCGTGATATCACTAATTAATGTTAACAAATTCAACTTCATTGTAAAAGTGTTTTTTTCCCCTTTCTTTTAAACTCCGCTTTGCACAGAAATAATCCGTGCCTATGAAAGAAGTCGCATGTACAGCAAGCAGCAGAAAGCACTTTTCCCGTTAGCATGAACAGTTGTGTTGCTAGTCACGTTAATCGAATACAACACCTGCTGATTTTATGCGTTTTATTTGCTGAATGTGTTGTTTATCAGTTTCAGCTCACCTTTAATGTCCTGCTGACTAACTGGGTTTTAAGAAAGATGCATACATCTGCATAAGTTGTTGCATTCTGCTGTCCGGAAATGATTTACCAAAACGTTCTTCTCACATGGCAATGAAACAGTATTGTTCACTCTGGCTCTAAAAGTTTGTCTCATATGCTTGTATTACCCATCCATCAGTGTATTTCTCACAAATATGGTTGCCATATAAAGCCACAGCAGTTCTGTATGTCTTTCGTAACTCATTGTTCCTGAGATGGTACATCAAACTGAGGTGAAGCACGACTGGTTGTCTCTTTAAGTACTTTGCACTTTGATAGACATTTTGTTCTGTCCTTTAGGGCAGAAGGTGGACGGTACACTCGATAGCTATTGGTCGTCACGGGTTCCCCCTCTCCCTACTAAAAACATGTCTGCTACTGCTGTATGGGAGACCGTATGGTTTAGTTCTCTGAAAAACTTCGAGTCCTGGGATCATCTTTTTTCTGTTAGATGCTTTAGCTGTTCTCAGACTGTATTTGTCATGTTATACAGCATCTTGTTTTTGGATTTAAATAGTTTATGCTGAGATATGATGGCATTATTTCAATAAAACTTATCAGCTGCTCTGCATGCATTCTTACCAGGAGGTCACGTGGTTCATCTCGCTGCTTTCACTCTTCTGAGGGCAGGAACTGATTCTCGCTCAAGTAATTGACCTTATGCACAGCTTCACTACTTCCTGAACTTAAGCCAGCTCCTTGTTTCCTGTCGGTCATTATTGGACATTTGGTCCAGTATAATTTTAACATTATGTATGTATGATTTATAGATTTTATAAATTTATTATATTTTTATATTTTTTTTATTTTTAATTAAAATTTTTGGGTTAATTTTTTGTGATTTATTTATTATTATTATTAAATATTACTTTTTTTTAGTTTTAGTTTAAGTTTTAGTTTTTCCGGTCAACAATTTTTATGCTTAGCTTTAACTTATTTCAGTTATTTATCATTGCAACATTTCTATTAGTTTGTTTTTCAACTAATATTGAGTAGATATGCATATATATATATATATATATATATATATATAGCCTATATTCTATATTTAAAAAAATATTTTAGTCATTTTTGTTTAATTATTATTATTTTTAAATATTACTATTTTTTCAGTTTTATTTTGTTATTTTATTTTTTGTGCAATTTTAGTGCTTAAACTTCAACCTATTTCAGTTAATTGCCATTGCAACATTTCTAATATAAGTTCATCTAATATAAGTCATCTAACGGCGATTAGATATTCTGGTTATATTTTATTATTTATTAATAGTTTATTTTCACTCAATAATTTTAGTGCTTTAGCTTTTTTTTGTTTGCAATGCAACATTTCTATTTTTTGTGTAAAGTTTTTCCTCCAATATTTAACTGTATTTCAAATATTAAAATTTTGACAAATTTAGTTGATGACCAACTGCCTAATAAACAAGATTTCTGTAGGTTGCTAGGGTGAAAAAGGTGCCTCTTTTCTCATTGGAAATGGGATAAAATAAAATATAGGTTTACTTAACACTTACTCATCCGTTTTTATACAACACCTGCTGAACAGAAATTATACAGTAACAAATTGCACAACGGGCTTCAGATGTCCATGGGGTTAAACTGTAACTTTGTGGCCCCCGTCCCATCTCAGCATGTAATTGGTCAGTCACAGCACGAATATATCAAGTTTCAACCTCCTCTGGACTTTTGGTCAACCAGCTGTGGGTAAATAGTCTGTGCCTCCTCTTAGCAGACCTCTTTCTAAACCTGTGGACGCCTCCACCGCTAGACACACACTGACCATGGCCACTTTCGATGACATCTTAGAGGAGGCCGGCGCATTTGGCCGGTGCCAAATGCGAATTTTTGTCATTTTCAGTTTAGTCTCCATACCGTTTTCTTTTGTCTATGTGGGGATTGTGTTCCAGGGCTTCACCCCGGAGCATTGGTGCCGTGACCCGGGTGTCACTGAGATCCGGGAGAGATGCGGCTGGAGCCTTCAAGACGCACGCAGGGCCACTATACCCCAGATGAACGGCTCTGCAGGGGTGACGTACAGTCAGTGCAAGAGGTTCGACATGGACTGGAACGCCACCGGTCTCGCCTGCGACAATCCGGAGAGTGACTTTCTCCAGGCCCAGCTCTCTGCCACGACAGACTGCTCAGACGGCTGGGAGTACGACTACAAGGGAAGACAGTCGTTTGTCACTGAGGTAATCACAAAACAAGACTTTCTTTTGGTGGAAATTGAGTGAATGAATTGAACAAAATGTCTCATTAGACCTGTGTGTTTTGCAGTTTGATCTAGTGTGTGCAGACGCCTGGTATGCTGACATGTTCCAGGCCACACTCGGTGTTGGTTTCTTAGTGGGCAGCATTGCAATTGGATACATGGCAGACAAGTATGACAGACACTTCTTTACCATAACATGGGTCTTTTTTTAAAGGGATACTCCACTTTTTTTTTTTTGAAAAAGGCTCATTTTACAACTCCCCCAGAGTTAAATTGTTGAGTTTTACCGTTTTTGAATCCATTCAGGCTATCTCCGGTTCTGGCGGTACCACTTTTAGCATAGCTTAGCATACATCATTGAAGTGGACAAGACCATTAGCATTTCTCAAAAAAAAAAATGACCAAAGTGTTTCGATATTTTTCCCTATTTAAAACTTGACTCTTCTGTAGTTACGTCGTGCACTAAGACCGACGGAAAATGTAAAGTTGCGATTTTCAAGGCTGATATGGCTAGGAACTATACTCTCATATCCTGCGTAATAATCAAGAGACTTTACTGCCGTACCATGAGTGCAGCAGGCGCAATGACTACACAAACTTAGTCCCGGTCACGTTGGAAGCTGGGGACTATTTTCAGGTGCTGCGTCATAACATTGCGCCTGCTGCACTCATGGTACGGCAGTAAAGTTTCTTGATTATTTCGCAGGAAATGAGAGTATAGTTCCTAGCCATTTTAGCCTAGAAAATCGCAACTTTACATTTTCCGTCGGTCTTAGTGCACGACGTAACTACAGAAGAGTCAAGTTTTAAATAGGAAAAATATCGAAACACTTTGGTCATTTTTTTTTTTTTTTTCAGAAATGCTAATGGTCTGGTCCACTTCAATGATGTATGCTAAGCTATGCTAAAAGTGGTACCGCCAGAACCGCAGATCGGCTGAATGGATTCAAAAACGGTAAAACTTAACAGTTCAACTCTGGGGGAGTTGTAAAATGAGCTTATTTCCAAAAAAAAAGTTGAGTATCCCTTCAATATCTAAAGCTCCTTAAACTAGATACATTTCCTTGATAAGCAATTAAGCTGCAGGGGCTGATTATGAATGTAATTTAATACAAATAAATATACCCTTGGTGAGCTTTAGAGACTTGTATTACCAACCCCAAACGTTTGTACGGTAGAGTAAATGTTATCAAGCAGTAGGTTAGCCTATGCAAAATAAAAACCAAATTATGAATATGTTGGCATCCCAGACAGCAAACTGACATTGAATCAACGTGGAAACGACGTCGCTCATGACATTGAAACAACGTTGATCTGGCGTTGTTTTGCTCATCGAATTAACGTTGAACCAACGTCATTCATCAAAGCTAAATGAAAATCAAAAATTGGTTTGCTTTCATAACGTTGAAACAACGTTGATTTAAAGTTGATTTTCCGTTAGTTTTGAAAGAATGACGCGTCTGACGTTGGTTCAACGTTAAAGGGTTAGTTCACCCAAAAATGAAAATTAAGTCATTAATTACTCACCCCCATGCTGTACCAACCCCGTAAGACCTTCGTTCGTCTTCGGAACACAAATGAAGATATTTTTGATTAAATTTGAGAGCTGTATAACTACCACATTGGCTCCTAAGGGACTGCCTCTTGACGGCCCAAAAAGTCAATGAAGAAAATGTTTAAATATCCCAAGTGACTACCGTGGCTCAACTATATGTTTATCAAGCGACGCGAATACTTTTTGTGCGAAAAAACAAACAAAAATAACGAGTTTATTCGACTATTTCTTTTCTTCCTTGTAGGCCAGAACGAGACTTCCTTAGATTTCCACGACGCATGCGCGAGCATTGCGATCTGAAGTAGTGTAAGCTGGTGTGAGCAGATCGCAATTCTCGCGCATGCGTCGTGGAAATCTAAGGAAGTCTCGTTCTGGCCTACAAGGAAGAAAAGAAATAGTCGAATAAACTCGTTATTTTTGTTTGTTTTTTCGCACAAAAAGTATTCGCGTCGCTTGATAAACATATAGTTGAGCCACGGTAGTCACTTGGGATATTTAAACATTTTCTTCATTGACTTTTTGGGCCGTCAAGAGGCAGTCCCTTAGGAGCCAATGTGGTAGTTATACAGCTCTCAAATTTAATCAAAAATATCTTCATTTGTGTTCCGAAGACGAACGAAGGTCTTACGGGGTTGGTACAGCATGGGGGTGAGTAATTAATGACTTAATTTTCATTTTTGGGTGAACTAACCCTTTAATGACTTAATTTTCATTTTTGGGTGAACTAACCCTTTAATTCGATGAGCAGGTCAACGTTGTTTTCGATGTCATGTTTCCACGTTGATTCAATGTCAGTTTGCTATCTGGGATGTCAACATGAAGGTTACAGTAACCATCCGATTGTGAATTGTTTGTCCGTTTTATTTCAGATATGGCAGAATGAAGAGTTTCCTGATGACCAACTTCTTCATCGCAATTACAGGGATTCTGGTGGCCACGTCTCCGAATTACATCGCCCTGCTGGTGTTCCGAGCTCTCTTTGGCTTCGGAGTGAAGGGCGGCTGGATGGTTGGATACGTGCTAAGTAGCCTAACTAAGCCTAACTTTTTCAGTTATTTGATCACACTTAAATGAAATATGTTACTCATTGTACTTTCATAGTGTTACGGTCTAACAATCAGTCAGCTGCAGTGCTCCTGATTGAAATGTTTACTGCAGTGTTTGGATTCTTGATATCCTCATATTTCCTGGCTGCAGTCACAGAGCTGGTTGGGGTGGACTACAGGAGAACGGTGGGAGTAACCTATCAGATGTTCTTCAGCTTGGGCCTTCTCATCCTTCCTCTCTTAGCTTACTTCATACCAAACTGGCGCTGGCTGCAGGTGGTCTTTACGGTACCTTACATCATCTTCCTGACTTACTATTGGTAAGGGCCTGTGCATTATGTGCAACACACACTCTAAACAATGCTGGGTTGTTTGAACCCAAATTTGGGTAAAATATGGACAAACCCAACCCAATGTAATTTTAAATTTTAAGCCAACTTCAACTTTCACTTTCAAATGTACATTTTTTTAATTGCATTTTTAACCCAACATTTGGGTTTGTCCATATTTTGACCCATATTTGGGTTAAAACAACCAGCATTTTTTAGAGTGCAGGTAGAGTCTTCAGAAGGCTGCACTTGATTGATTGAGTTTTGTGTGCAAATTTGTATTGAAATATTGTATGTATCCTTTCAAACTTGGAAAGAATATTCCAGATTAAATATAAACTTTAATACTAGCACTGTTGTGTTTTACCCAGTACTTTTTTATAGCACATGTATATCTTCAAGATATACTACCATTCTAAGGTTCGGGAAGCATTAAAAAAAGATCAAATGTCAGTAACATTTTTGACAATTTTAATCCTTTTATTTAGCAAGGATTCATTAAATTTATCAAAAGGGACAGTAAAGACATTTATAATGTTATTTATGTTTTAAATAAACGCTTTTCTATTGGTTTCCACAAAATAATAAGCAACATTAAATGCTGCCTTGGTGAGCCCATGAAACTTCTTTCTAAAACATTTTTAAAAAATCGTACTATCGTGCATTTTCATCTGAAAATGTAGTTAAATATTTTTGTGTTACACTATTGATAGATAAATGTAGCCATGTTGCATTATTTAAATACACTTTTTCAGGTTTATCCCAGAATCACCAAGATGGCTCCTCAGCCAAAACAAGAGAACCGAAGCACTGGAGATCACAAAAATGATAGCCAAAGAGAACAAGAAAACACTGTCCAAGAATATTGAGGTACAAAATATACACATACGATGAGGAGCATAAATTTAACACCAAATGCCCAAATGTCTCTGAAATGCCCAAATTCATCCATCAGACACTGTCAGGTGACGATACAGAGCCTGTCTCAACTGCTTCTTTCATGGATCTGTTCAAGACGTCCAAATTGAGAAGATACACGTTCATCCTTAGTTTCAACTGGTACGTCAGAGCCGAAACACCACATGCAGTGCATTAGGGTGAACATTTATCTATAACCTCATGTTGTAGGTTCACCAGTGCTGTGGTTTACCAGGGTCTTATAATGAGGCTGGGAATCCTCGGAGGAAACGTGTACGTGGACTTCCTCATATCTGCAGTCGTGGAATTGCCAGCAGCTTTCCTCATCCTTTTCACTATTGAGCGGATCGGACGCCGGCTTCCTTTTGCAACTGCGAATATCGTGGCAGGAGCGGCTTGCTTAATCACAGCATTCATCCCGGAAGGTGAGTGACCATTTGTGGTTGATTGAAGCTGACTGAAAAAGGGTGATGTATGTATGCTTACTTCAAATTTTGTATCTTCTACAGGTATGTTCTGGTTAAAAAGCGCCGTTGCTTGTGTTGGACGGCTTGGCATCACTATGGCTTTTGAAATGGTAGTGTTTGTGAATACTGAACTGTATCCCACTGTTATCAGGTGAGTTATATTCCAGATTTATCTTTAATTATGCATTGCATGGAGTATAAAATCGGTATATAATTTCTATTTGGTCAATAATGCTACTGTACATGACGTTGTTTGGCTGCAGAAATCTGGGTGTATCGGTCTGTTCCACAATGTGTGACGTTGGAGGGATTATAGCGCCCTTCCTGCTCTACAGGCTTTCTGTCTTCTGGATAGAACTACCTCTTATCATTTTCGGTACAAAAACAGATGTTGTGTTTATTTCACACACAATCAGACTGAGTTGTCTGTGTTGTTCGGTATAGCACCGATGCTACAAGATGCTGGAAATTACTTCCTGAATGGCTTATAGCACCACAAGAACACACACCGTCCCAAACACTTCAGTAGAAACTATTGAGGTGAGACGTTAAAGAGACAGTTCACCCAAAAATGAAAATGTTGTCACCATTTACTCCCCCTCAAGTTGTTTAAAACATGTATGACATTTTGAAGAATGTTGGTAACCAAAGAGTTCCTGGTCCCCATTGATTTCCATAGTGTGGAAAAAAAAAATACGTTGGAAGTAGGGTAGGGTGACCAACTGTCCTGTTTTCCCAGGACATGTCCTGTTTTACTTTAAATGTATTGAAATTAATAAGATATCTTTGAGTAAACTGAGTATCATTTGAGTAGGCCCATCTGTTTGCCAGGCTGAGTGTCCTGGTTTTTGGTAATTAAAATATGGTCACCCTAGTTGGAAGTCAATGGGCTCTATGCACGTCGGTATTTCCGGTGAAGGTGTAAGGATGCTCGATAACTTCCGCCGATCGTAGAGTCCAATGCAAAACCGAGAATTTATATTGAAATTTTATACTCCATGGTTATACTAATGAAACGTTAGTCACAAAAACAGATAAAACAGACACCGCTCGTTGTGTTTATGCTTCTTTTTAAAATTATATTAAATAAACATAACTATATATAAAATTACATCTAAATGTATTTACGTTTCGTTTCAAAGACGGGAGGACGGTAAATTTTGAAGACTCTGCCATAATCCTGTTTTCCTCGGTTTTCCTCCGCTTTAATCTCCACAACCAGAAATGGACGAGCATCCTTGCGTCAAATGCGGAACTTATGCGTGCATATAGCCCATGGGGACCAGAAACTGTTTGGTTACCGGCATTCTTCACAATGTCTTTTTTTGTGTGTTCAACGGATTTAACAACTTGAGAAGGAACAGCTTGAACATTTTTGGTTTAACTCTCCCTTCAAAGGCAGCAGTCAATTGCAGGCTTTTAACAGACCTACAAAAATTAATAATAATTGGGCGTTAACAAAACAAACTATTTGTGTGTGTGTGATTGTGTGTGTATACACTCACCTAAAGGATTATTAGGAACACCTGTTCAATTTCTCATTAATACAATTATTCAATCAACCAATCACATGACAGTTGCTTCAATGCATTTAGGGGTGAGGTCCCAATATTGCCTGGTCTGATGAGTCTCGATTTCTGTTGAGACATTCAGATGTTAGTCAGAATTTGGCATAAACAGAATGAGAACATGGATCCATCATGCTTTGTTACCACTAGGATTGGGTATCGTTTGAATTTGAATGATTCTGATTCCGATTCCTTGTTTCGATTCCGGTTCCTAACGATTCTCGATTCCGATTCTTTTAAGAGGCACGGTCAAAAAACTTCAGCTAACCTTGCTAACCAACGGTCTTTCTGAAGGAAATACTCCTTCTGTCATAAATACTCCTTTTGTCACAAATTTTGCATTTTGCCGAGATTTCGTTATTTTTAGAAAAGTGAAGACACAGTTTGGACCGCCGACGTAAGCTACTCATGTTCGACTCGCGCGGTTATGCCAACACTTCCGGTAGACGCTTCTTCGTTGGTGTTGTTCAGCGGTTTCTTCTTCTGCTCGGCGGACTGTGAATATCAAAACTAGGAATCGAAATTTTAACTTTTAAACGATTCCGGGAAAAACTAAAAGTTAGTCCCGGTTCCAATCGATACTCGATTCTCGATACCCAACTGTGTAGGCTGGTGGTGGTGGTGTAATGGTGTTGGGGATGTTTTCTTGGCACACTTTAGGCCCCTTAGTGCCATTCAGTGTTGTGCAAGTTACTTTCAAACTGTAATACATTAGGTATTACTTGTTACTGTTATTTAAAAGTAATTCATTACCTTACAATATTACTGTCCCAGAATTGTAATGCGTTACATTACTCATGTATTACTTTTGAGTTACTTTCACCAAAATAACTAAGTAGAACTTAACTTTTGGGCTGTAACGATATGCAATATGAAACCGAAATCGCGATTCGCCACACGACTCAGATCCACGAACCTACAGAATCGACACACCTCTTCCAACTCCAGCGTTATTCTCCTTACCGTCCAGATCCAATGCTGCCGTATCTTTAAATTAGGCTATTAGTATTATTTGAAGTTAACTTTATAAAATACGTAGACCTACACCACAAAACTAGTTGAGGATAAATTATTTAAAATTGAAGTCCATCATTATGGACATGACATTTGCAGTCAAAACTTGAAATAAAAATTCTCAGAAAATTCATGTATTGAAACGTATATAGGCTACTTCCTTAAAAGACTCCAGACATTAGACAAATATCAGTCTATGTTTTATTTTTAATATTAGGGAAAAGACACACATTCATGCGTGACAAAAAAATAGGAGGCAAAATATATTTTTTGTAATTCTGTTAATTACACTGCGCAAATCGGATGAGGAAGGGTTGGCTCTCCAGTCTCCATAGAACTTAAAATATTCATTTTATTTTAGTTTTCGTGTTCGCATTTATGAGGAAAAAACAATGTTACAGATGCGACCGCTCTGAACTGGCACTAAAAGACTGCTTTAAAACTTTCACATAGTCTGTTGCCTTTAAGAAGTAAAAGCAGACAATACACTGTAATACAAGCCTCACTGAACATGTAACGAGTAAAATATTACTGAAAATTGATTAATAATGCCTTACAGCAAAAAGTAATATGTTACTGTAATGTATTACTTTTGTAATGCGTTACTCCCAACACTGGTGCCAATTGGGCATCGTTTAAATGCCCAATTGAAACGGGAGCTTCGTGCCCTGGATGTGCATGATGCTATCTTATCAATATGGGCCAACATTTCTAAAGAATGCTTGTTGAATCAGAATTAAGGCAGTTCTGAAGGCGAAAGGGGGTCAAACACAGTATTAGTATGGTGTTCCTAATAATCCTTTGGGTTAATGTATATAGTATATAAAATTAAATTTTACTTTAAAAAAATATCCAAAATAAATTATATAATAATGTATAGATATACACCTTATTTATAATTTATGTTTGCCTACTGCACGGTGTACTTACAGCATCTACAAACAGGGGCTGGTAGGTTTAGACAAACTTTGACCATCTTGGACCAACATTTCCTCATTGGATGTTCCATCAAATGTTTTGTTTATTACAAAGCCAATGAGGTGTT